TGACTGGCATTTTTGACTCATGTACTGCATTGAGAATTTCACAGGGATGCCACAGTTTTCCATTTATTTTAAAAAAATTGCATGACTCTTTCCCAGCATGGTTCCTAGCAGAAGCACATGGAGGTGTGAGTCCCAGTTTTGGACTGCTGCCAAGGCAGGCTGGGGGTTCGGTGGGTGCTGGAAGGGAAGGTAAGCCCATGAGTCAGGGCCAGCGAGGGATGCAGCCAGCAGCATCAATGAGATGTTCAAGCTGCTCCAGTACCCCCAGCAAAGGCTGCCGTGCCACAGGGCTGCTTCTGGTTTCCCATTCCCCAGGCTCTGCTCTGGGCTGCAGAAGCTGGTGAGGAACCAGGAGCAGAGTGATGCCAGAAGGTGGGGTGACAGGGTGACTGTCACCTGCTGGTGGAAGGAATGTGGTACCAGTGGGAAACCTAATCCCTGTGGTGGGAGTTCCTGGCAAGGTGCCCCACAGCCCAAGGATAAGGGGAGCCCCTCTTCCTAGCACAGCATGCAGCCACTTGCAGGTAGGCACCCTCATCACCAGGAAGGAGGAATCCTGACATCTCAGAGCACCTGCATGGCGCTGTGAGGGCAGGTAAGGGTGGGGATAAGAAAAGAAAGTAAAACCACTTACGCTCAACCAAGAGCATTAGAGGCAACTACTCCTTAAACCTGCATAGCAACCAGATGGCAGCAGCAGCACAACACACTCAGCTGCAAACAGGGCAATCCCTTTGGTTTTCCTAGCCCTCACTTCTGCATTTGCAGCCCCTACTGCCTCAATCAGGATTACCTGAGGAATACTGATTACAGCTGATCAAGAGTTCTGTCTTCATTGAACTGATTGCACAGTTTGTTTGAAGATGGCTGCTCTGTCCTCTTGTTATGCTGTGGCTCCTAAATGCCTTTTTATTTAGCAGCTGCTCCTCTGCTGTGCAGTGACCAGCAATGTTACATCACAGCTGACGGGTGATCAAGGGACTTGCTTTATTGTTTGCTGGATGGGAGTTTCATTAAGGTTTTGATAACCCTATATTTTAGGCCATTAAGGTACTCTCTGTATCCTGTTTTTCTTTAATTCCAGTCAGGTTACATGCAATACTCTCTCTTTTGATTTAGGGGAGGTGAGGGTTGCTCTTTCCAAGTGACTGCCAGGCAATTAAACATTAAAGGCTCTGTTTCCCAAGCAGAAGGGATTTAACTGGCTGAGGTTGTTGCTCACAATAAGTACCCCATGCCAGTTTCCTGGCTATCCCCGAGAAGATCTTCAGCCTTCACCTTTGAACAAAGACAATTGTATGGAATTCAGCACAGTTTGCAAAGAGTTTTGTTGTTGTTTTTTTTTTTAAGGTAGACTTGACAAATGTCAGATCCTCTTGCATGTGTTGGAAGCAGTCAGGAGATGAGGTGAGCAGAGAGGAGACTCTGTATATCCTAGTTATTCAAAACAACTTAAGTTTTGCTGAAACGCTGGGGAATATTTAACTGAGGCAGGGTGTGCTTGTGCCTCTCCACAGCTGTTAGTGCAGGGACTCCCACCACAGCTGTGTCCATTTTTTTTGGAGGTTGTTGCCATGCAAGTACCTTGACATCTACCAAAACCTTCTGAGTAGCTGAAGTCATGGTAACAACAGAATTTTTATTCCTAGACAACTATAAATTTCAGAGTAGACTACACAATCAAGTATGAAGTTTAATCTAAACTGTGTTATCCTAAAAAAGCTTCTGAATTATTTAATGCATTTTATATGATGATTGCCTGATTTATATCACATCACAGGAAGTGGGTTAGCAAGTTTATCTCCTGTCTTCTCATTAATATAACAAGATAGCTGAAGATGTGTTTTGCTCTTGTTCTCTTACTGCCAAAGTATCACATTTTCTTTTGGGCACAACAGAAAGCATTCCAGAACCTCAGATTCCTACACATGGAAGCTCTGTGTGACATGTTAAATTACATCATAAGACCCAAACCCAATTGTTCTATTCTATATTCTGAATATTACACCCCCTGATTACATGTTCCAGGAGAAGCAAAGTTTCCTGCAGAAAATATGTGATACAGAACTAAAAGCTTGAGCCCATAATGCACATATTCATTCATCATTTCTCTTGACCTGATTTTGTGCTCCAGCTTTTCTAACAGATTGTTTCCTTGGTTATCCAAGTTTGTTGCCAAAGCAGACAAATGAATCATCCATTTACAGTAAAAGTGGGGAACTGCCAAGGGAATACCTGATGTCGCTGCATGTGGCACGCAAGTCTCAGGCCAGCTGGTGATAAAGTCCTGCCTCTCAGCTCTTTGGGCATAAGCCACATCTGCACTGTGCCACCCACCCTGGCACAGAGACTGAAGACACCCTGTGCCAGGATGACAGGACTGGTTAGTAAAAGGTGGCTTGAAATAGTGCTCCTGAATGGTAAAACTCAGAAGGAAAATCCCCAGAAAGCCACACTGACCAGGAAGGATGGGTAGACAAGCTGCCCTTGTTCTTGTCTCAGCAGCATTTGGGGGTCCAGACAAGCTGACCCAGCTCAGGACCCTTCTTCTTTTAAAATACATACTAGTTCACTCAATGAGCATCTAAGTCTCCCACAAATACTCCTGTTGTAATGGAAATAATTATTTTCCAAACCACAAGGAAAAATGCTTGCTTTTTCCAGCCTTCTTTCCATCCTCTCTGGAGATTAAAATCCCTGAACACACACAGAGTGCTCAGGACATATGCAGGGTGCCCTAGCACTGCAGTTCCCTAGTGCTGATCCATTTGGGTGGGATAAGCAGACCTCGAGCCCTCTAACCTATCCTGCCGATGCTGTCCTATGGCCGGAATGAGCTGCCTGTGCTACACACAGGGCAGGCAGGCAGCCTCAGAGAAGGCACACTCAGCAGGGGAGGCACACCGAGAATGGGGTTGTATTGCTTTCCTTTGGACACAGGGGCTAGCTCCATACTTGCCCAGGACAATTTGTTGTGATGCCCCCACTAATCTTCCCTACTGCAAGCTGAGACACGGAATGTGTCTCACTTCAGCTCCTGTAATCCATGTCAGCACTGCAGCACCAACTTTTATGTGTGTGCATCACTTCAGAGTGCAGTGCTAAGCAGCAAGCTGAAGGGTTTACAGATACTTCCAAATCTTCTATCTTGGATCCCCTTGAATTAACTCCCCAGAACCTGGTGTCTGCACAGCAAATGACAGCTGTGGCCACCCTAGCAAGCCCTGCCACAGCCAGCGCCAGCCAGTGTTGGCATCCAAGTACTAATTGTGGGCGTTTCTGAGAGCGTCTTGGTTTGCATTTCTGTTTGGCTTCATCACTGAACCCAAACAGGAAAAAAAATATGAGGTGTGCCTTTGTTTTACATACAGGAATAAGTAGGTTCGAATTATTTACAGCGATGTGTAGAAAATTCATAAAAATCAATCTTCCTACTATGCAGCCAAATTTGATTGCACAATAAAGTTAGCATTGAAAAGGTGTCTAATAATGCCCTTTCAACTACATTTTTCAGGTTAGCCTTGGATTAAACCCCAAAATAGCTGATGTAATTTCCAGCTGGCTTTCATAGTTAAGCTGTAAAAATGCCATGAGGTAAATTCACAACTATGATTCTGTCTTCAGCTAGAAGCAGCCAGAAGTGCACTTCTTGCTGGTAAGTTCTGTATGTAGAGGGAGAAGCTGTATTTTATTTAGCTCACAGCATGCCAGAAACAGCAGCCTCCCAGCAGTGCAGCCAGTGGGTGGTCCCAGGGCACAGCCCCTGCATACCTCCAGAATGCATTGCTACTCAAAAAGCACCAGCAGCTGCTTTTACTTCAGAAAACACAGGCACCAAGATCACAGCATGGAAACACATTTTCTTCCTCTCTTATTGCATGGCAGCATGAGAGTGCTTGCCTGGAAAGTCAGATTTAAGTTCAGCTCCATGCTTAGAGAGAAGGGCTTCAAAGCCCACTGCATGCACTGCTGAGGAGAGGGACAGGGCCATGGCATGGGCAGAATAGCAGTGGGGAGGTGGCACGTTCTCTATGCTCCGTCTTCTGCAGGGCTGCAGCAGAAAATGGCTTTCAAGGATCAGCGTGTCAGGCACAGCTGGTGAGGGGACCTCATTCCAATCCACTGGCTACTTGCAAATGTGGAAAGGTCTCAGACCCAGAGCTGTTAAAATATTTTATCTCATGGCCACGAAATGAGAAATACCATGAAGCAAGATGGTGGAATGGGACTCACATCTCCTATTTCTGGGGAAGGAGCCTCTCTTTTGCATTGGGCTATGATGGCATATCCCACCTGGAACAAGAAAGGCAATGACTCAGATGCTCCCTATGCAGGGCCCTGTGTCACACAGGATAAGGTAAGGAGTGCCTCTGCCCCAAACCCACAGCAGGGAAGGGCATTGAGTCAGCATCCCTGTGATTGTGAAATCTGGGGATCCCTGTATGTGGGGATCTGAGCAGGATGCAGAAGAGCCCACATGAGCAGTGCCAATGGCCACTGCTGGCACGCAGGGGCAGCAGACAGAGAAGGCAGACTGCCCAGCCTCCCTCTGCCCTGAGATGAGAGAACTCCAGTTCCCTGCTCTCCTCCTGGCAGGGAACTCCTGCAGCAACACCTTTAACAGGGCAGGCAAAGCCCCAGCCTGGACCCATCTCAGGGCCAGCACCACACGCCCGCTGGCCCTGGGGAGGGCCACAAGGGACCCAATCCCACACCGGGGAGCAGCCACCACCTCTGCCCCACAGCCGGGCCGTCAGGAACACGACCAGGTTCCTTCCTGGGGAAGGCAGTGCAATCACCAACATAAAGGAAATACTTTTCACCAGAGTCACAACAGCTCACACAGGCATGATTAGCTTTGGGTGCTGAAGAAAAGCTGGGGGATGAAAAGCTGGGACAAAAAACCCAAAACAGAGATGCAGAGTAGTAACCACAGACCTGCAATTCCATTCCTGTGGGCTTTATAGTGCTTTAAAAATATTAAAAATGAAGAGATAGTGTTCCATTGGTCAGGACAATTTTATTTTGAGGTTATTTTTCCTTGCAAATGCGTAAGTTCCACTATGAATTTAAAAAAAAAGTCAATATTAAAGAAAATTGGTTTATTGTAAACAAAGTATAAAGTACAACTTAAGAAATGTGCAAATCTTTAAAGTAGTCACAAAAAGCAAATCTAATACACTATTGTCAAACCATTCACTTTCTGATATGTGTCCTCAACATAACATGATAAAATACAGTGAGAATTGATGCATTGTCACAAAAGCTGGTTTAAATTCTAGCCGGTGTCTTTGATGCCTTGTTTTCCTCTTTGAATCACAACTTTCTAATTTAATACATTATATAATATATCCATTTCAATTTTAGCATAAACCACCTTTCAAAGAATAACACAATCAAGAAATCTAAGATTCTTGGTTTTCTTCTTTAATCAACCAGAGTAGTTTATGGTTACCAAGTTTGTCTTCAAGGTGCCCCGTTATCCACTTATGACAAGCACAGTGAGAAGGTGGAAAGGAAACCACAAGCAACACAAAAGCAGAAGCATCATGCGATGCCAGGGTATAACCAGCTGTTACAATCGCAAAATTTGCCAAAGCAGCTGAGAAAACATTACAAAGCTATTAAGGATTCAGCAATGTTCCTGCCCTTTGGCTGCCCATGCATTGCCCCTGCATGCCCATCCCAAGCCCCTCTGGACACAGCAGTGTAAAGCTGGGTTTGTTAACCACCCCATGCAGAAGGAGATGTCTAAAATCTCCAGGAGTCTGGCACCGAATCATCGATTATGATGGGGCTGGAGAACTGTTAGGAGAAAGACTCCTACCAAGCAAAGGTGGCAGAAATAGCAAAACAGATATAGATTATTTTATGCAGGTGGGTTCTAGGCTTTCAAGCCCGTGCCCGTACATTGCCGCTGTCCTTGTCTGCGCCTACTGAAGATGGACAACTGACAGCTAAAACTGGAGCTGGCGTCAGGCATGAGCAGCAAACCCTCAGAAACACTTGCATGGGACTGGAACTAGAACATACACAAGTGATTTGCAAAATTCAAAACTGGCACAATGTGGCTGCTCTGCTCTAGAGCCTTCCCCTTCTTTCTCTCCTCACCAGTGCAAAAGACACCTGCTATTCCAGTCAGCCACAGCAACATTTTTTGTGACTGACTGCAGGCTGCCTTTGCCTCTCTGTACTGCTGTCAGCAGCCAGTGCGGGAGAACCACAGACCGGGAGAAAAAGCTTTTTTCCAGCCAGCCTATCCCAGCAACAGTTAATTCCACTGTCTTCAGATCAAGTCCTGTCACTGGGCGGTTGCAGACGTTGGTGGCACGGCAACATCACTGAGCTTGCTCACTTCCATTTGCCAGTTCGGTAATTTCTTTGCCGAAAAGTGGCAACGTGCGTGCTTCGTGAGGTGGTCGCTCCGCATGAACCGCCGCTCGCACATGGGGCAGGCAAACTTCTTCTCCCCGGTGTGCGTCCTGCGGTGCCGGGACAGTTCATCAGACCGTGCAAACCTCCTCTCACAGCCTTTCCAACTGCAACTAAACGGCTTTTCTCCTAGAGGGAAAGGAATTACAAAGGGAAAAACCCAGTGAGTACTGAGCAATAAACACCGCTGCCTTCACTGGCAGTATTTCACTTGATTGGCAGGAAACTTTCTATTAAGGCAGTTAAGCCAAAAATCTACGTAAGCATTATACACACACAAAATGTGGAACATTGTTTATCTTTAATGTAATATTTAAACATGCAGACTCACTGTCTCCAAGGCTAAGTAGTATGGGTAAGGGTTAAAGGTTAAAAATCCTCTGGAACCAAATTGTTTGAAATGCTTTTCACATCTCAAGACTGCCGATTTTAACACTCAACTCCACGTAAACTGCGCATAATGATGACTCAGCATGCCTAAAATTCCCCTCTGAAGCACAGCCTGCAATGATGTTTTATGTAACTGAGCTCCAGTAGTGCACTGTGAGCCTGTGTGAAAATACATAGAACTCTTTCTGCTACTGCATTTAAGGGCTGAGGCTGGAGAAGTTACTCTAGAATAACCAAGACAGGAATAGTTTGGAGTGGATTCTCACATCCTCTAATAAAACAATCTCCAAGTTTTACCCACTTCTGGCAAAGGCATTCCTGAGGAGAAGCCTAATAAGGAATCTTTAGCTCTGGAAAGCATGCTCCATGTTGGGCAAGGCCTTGCTTCCACAGATGCATTACTGAACACCTTCTGACACACAGCGAGTCCAGCACGAACAAAGTGCAGAGTCAACTTCCCCTCGGGGAGACTTCCCGTCAGAGATTAGGCAGCATTATAATGCATGCTGGCAAAAATAGTATTTCATTGCTGGCCCACAGTTTGTTCAATAAACAGATCCAGTAATCGCTACAACTATAACAAGCTGTATATACAACCACAGTTTTCTACACCAGATTTTAACATGCAGCAGCACTAACCAACCTGTGTGTGTTCTGACATGAGCCTTCAAATGGGAGCTCTTGAAGTACGTTTTCCCACATCCTGGGTAGCCGCAAATGTGACTTCTTATTCTTGAAGAATCAGCCTGAGGAGTGGTTTTTGCTGTAGAAGGTACAAAGCCAGGAGCAGGCGCAATGGGAGACAGTCTCGTGCCATTTGGACTAACAATGGGAGCCTTTGAGCCCTGCACAACTGGCTGGGGCACAACAAACATGAGGGCACCTTTGGGAACCTGGGTGCCCATGAAGACCATGGGCTGACAGAGAGCCGGCTGCTGGCTCGGCGCGGTGCTGGGCACCACGGCCGTCACAACATTGTTGTTTGTGGGCAGCGGGACCATCTGGCAAATCACTGGCACAGGGGGAGCTCCGCTGCCTGGGGCAGGGGACAGCGGTGCTGCCACCGCAGGCTGCTCTGCTGGTTCAGGGACAGGCTCCTCCTTGCTCACCGAGGGCTCTGTCAAGGGCATGGGACCAACAGCTGGCTCTGCAGTTCTTCCTTCTGCCACTGACAGTTCGCTGGTCTCAGCACTGGCTCCACTTGGTGCCACGGTGGAGCACACGGAGTGCTCTTCTTTGGCATCCTGTTTCCAGTTTGCTTCCCTCCAAGCACTGTCCTGGTATTTGAGCACACTGGCTGTTCTCACAGGGAAGGTTTTGTGATCACAGAGCTGGGCATCGGCCGTGTGGCGGATAACACTTGTCACTCGAGCTTTTAGAGGCCTGGCTGTTGGAGACCTCTCTGCTTCTCTCTGAGGTGTGGCCAGAGGAGGCTTGGAAGCCTCGGGCAGCGCCTTGCTGAGGGGATGGATCACCTGCGACATCTCCAAGTCCGAAGGGCTGTAGGGAGGGGTCAGGCACTGCGCAGGACAGAGAGACACAGTAAGAGGGAGACACTAACAGGACATCACCACATTGTTAAAAACAAGCACACACACACAAACTGGAAAACTTACTAATGCTGGTATTGCGTTAAAGTCCGCTGCTCCAGGAAGCAAAGCCTCATCACTTTCTTCTGATATGTCAGATGCAGGAGTTATGGGTCTCATTTCTCCATGTTTCTTGAGGTCTGGTTTCCAGCTGCAACTCATAGAAATAAGGGCTTCTACAGCCTCATAATCGCTTTTTTCAGGGGTATTGTTCCAGAAATACCTCATATCTCTCTGTTTTTCAGTCATCATCTCCATTTCTTACTCCTGTTTTGGTTAGAGAAAAAAGGAAACTTTAAACCTGATGCTAAGTTTGAGTATTTTGCAGCTGCTTGTAAGAAGGCATTGCTAAAAACAAGCAAGGCAACCTGTGCAAGATAAAGACACTTCATGTACCTGTATTTTCCTACCTTCTTTCTTATTTATCTAATATTTTCATGAAGTTGTTAGCGAGGACATCTGGCCATCAGATGAAAATTATATAATTGCTTGAGACAAAAGAACTACTCTGGATGTTAAGTATGTTAAAGTTATTCCACACTACATGAACTATCTCTGAGAACTTAAGAAAAATCTTCACACCCCCCAAAAAATTAAATCAAAACTTCCTCCACCATCCCACCCTCCTTCTATTTTTGCTTTGGAAGCACACAGCCCACAGGATTGTGCTTATTTTGGCCACACTGGGGCTGATTCATATTTTCTTCGGAAGGTATTAGCATCAAAAAATGTTCTGTAAAGTACTCGAAGGATCTCTGTCACACTCTCGCACAGGCAAGGGAAACCAGCTGCTCGTGGAACCGAGCTCCCCGCAGCGCGCTCCCCGCAGCGCGCTCCCCGCAGCGCGCTCCCCGCCCGGCCCTCGCGCGGGGCTGTGGGCGGGGCTCAGGCCCGGGCCCCGCCCCCGACATTGGGCGCGCGCCACCCTCACCTCAGCGCACCCCGCCGGCCGCCTCCGCGCGCGCCGCCCCCGCCCTCCCTTATTGGCTCCCTCCGAGCCGCGCCGGGCGCCCATTGGCCCGCACCGAGCAGGGCGCGGCCCGGGGCGGGGCGCCTGAACAAAGCGTGATGCGGCGCCGCCGCGCGCCGACCTTTCCCCCAGTTCCCCCGCGCGGCGCCCCCGCCTCCGGCGCGCGGCGGCGGCCGGCTGTGAGGGCGGGCGGGGAAGCGGCCGGGCGGGAGGAGCCGCCACAGCGGGCGGCGGCCGGGCTGGGGTCAGCGCCGCCACACCCGGCGCGGGGGAAGGGAAGCGAAGCGAAGCGGCGACCCTGCGGGAAGCGGGTTAAGGGGGAGACGGCCGGCCGGCTCGTCCCGCGGCACCGTTCCGCTTCCCTGCCGCCGCGCCGCCCACCCCGCGTGGCGCCGGGATCCCCCCGGCTTTCTCCTCCCTCTCCGCTGCCACCTGGCACATGCAGTCGCCGAGACCAGCGCCCGCGCCCGGTCGGGAACGCAGGCACGAGGCTGCACGGCGCCGGGCCGGCGCTGCCAACAGGTTTTCGGCGGCTTCTCTCACTGCCGAGGCTTCCCTCGCCGGCTTGCCCCGCGAAGAGCTCTCCACGCGGGCGGCGCTCCTACAGCCCACCCCAGCACCTCCGGTCCTCCGCCGCGGCTCAACTCCTTCAGCCGCCACGCCAGCCAACCTCCCGCCCGCGGTCCCTCCTATCGAGGGTCGCCCCCGCACGTGCCCCGGGGATCCCCATGCCGCACCACCCCCGGGGACTCCCTCCGCCCCAGCCGCCCCGACCCCCCGGGATGCCCGGTTCGCTCACCGGAGGAGCCGAGCCTGCCCCGAGGTGCCGCCGCTCTCCCGGTTTTCCTCTTTTTGTTCGCCGCTCCCCACTCGGGCGGCAGCGCCCCCGGGCCCGCGCGCGGGGGGGTGGGCGGGGCCCTCGGCCGCCCGCCGGCCAATCGCGGGCAAAGGTGTGTGGGGCGGCGGCCAATGGGCGCCCGGCAGCCGCGCGTGATCGGCGGCCGCGCGGCGGCGTGGCCGGAGTGTCAGCGCGGCGTGTCCCCGCCGGCGGCTGAGTCAGGGCGGCCGCCCCCGCCCCCTGCCGTGCCCTTCCCTTCCCTCCCCGGCATCCGTGTGGGAGCGGCGGGGGCGGCTCGGCGCTTCCTCCTGCATGAGGTCACACGGCGGGGGAGGGAGCTGCCTCCCCGGTGCTGTCCCCGCTCCCCACCGGGCTGAGGTGAAGTGGGGCCGCGGGCGGGGGGAGAGGGAGAGAGCGGCGCGGTCGTTCCGACCTCCTCGGGCCTGTCTGGGCCATCGCCGTGGCTGGGCGCGCCCGGCGGACCCGCTGCTGTGTCCTGGCAGCGCCCTCGGGGTGGGGGAGGCCGGGACCACCCCAGTCTGCCCCGGGACGCCCGGCGCTGTCCGTGTCAGCGCAGGGCGCTGTTGCTGGCAGAGATCCGAGTGAGACCGCAGTCTGAGGAGACCCCAGGCGGCTCGGCCCCGCGGGGCTCGGCCTGGCCGCGGCTGCCTCGCCCGCTCGCCGGCTGCTGCCGCCCGGCCGGCTCGGGAACAGCTGCGGCTTAGCGGGGTCGCTGCTAGTCGCGTCACCCCGCGGCTGCGGCGCGCCAGGAGGGCGAGAGCCGTGTGATCCGGGCTGCTCCACGCAGGGTTTAAGGCGGGCTCCTTTTCCCGTCAGAAAGTTGTAACGAAAGTTGGAAGGCTGTGTGTGTGTCACGACCTGAGAGGCCAGATCCAGGCCAGGCTGCAGCTGTGACTGGTGTTGCGCTCTAGAAATGCCATTGATGCTTCGTTATGGTTCAGTTTCTTTCCTCCTGCTTATTTAGCCTCACTTAAGAGATTTCCCCTCCTCCTCCTAAGCAGTCCAGCATCTTTGGTCAGAGCATTTTCCTTTATTTATTTTTTTTTCCTAACACCTTTTCCTCAGTCTTCCATAGTAAGACCAGTTATTCTCAGGACAATGGGCCTCCTGAGCTGGTAGACAGGGATGGACACCCTGTAGTCCAGGAGGAAGCAATTAGTAACCTGCTGTGCCACTTAGATGCTTACAAGTCCATGGGACTGGATTGAACTCATCCTAGGGTGATGAGGGAGCTGGTTGAAGAGCTTGCCAAGCCCCTCTTCATCATTTATAATCAGTCCTGGCTAACCAGGGAGGTCCCACATGACTGGAAGCTGGCCAGTGTGACACCCAGCCACAAGACGGGCCAGAAGGTGGACCCAGAGAATTACAGGCCTGTCACCCTAACCTCAGTACCCAGCAAGGTTATGAACCAGATAATCTTGAGTGCAATCACGTGACACACAAGACAATCATGGGATGTCCCAGCCAGGATGGTTTAGGAAAGCCAGGTCCTGCCTTTCCAACCTGATTGTCATTTTACGTTCAGGTGATCTGCCTAGCAGATGAGGGGAAGGTTGTGGATGTAGTCTACCTGGGTTTCAGGAAAGCTTTTGACTCCATGTCCCACAGCATACTCCTGAAAAAGCTGGCAGCCCGTGACTTGGAGGGACAAGCTCTTCACTGGGTTGAAAACTGGCTGGATGGCCCAGCCCAGAGAGTGGTGGTGAATGGCATCCAGTCACCAGTGGTGTCCCCAGGGATGAGTGTTGGGCTCAGTCCTGTCTCATGTCTTCATTGATGATCTGGATGAGGGGATCCAGTAAATTTGTGGATGGCACCAAGTTGGGTGTGAGTGTCAGTCTGCTGTGGGGTAGGAATTCTGTGCAGAGGGATCTGAACAAGGTGGATCAATGGCCCAAAGCCAGCGGTAGGAGGTTCAATAAGGAGAATTGCTCAGTCCTATGCTTTGTCCATATAACCTCATGCAGTACTACCTGCTGTGGGTAGAGTGTCTGGAAAGCTGCTTAGAAGAAAAGCACCTGTGGGTGCTGCTCAACAGCTACTGAACATCATCCAGTGTGTGCCCAGGTGGCCAAGAAGGCCAATGGCATCCTGGCCTGTATCAGCAATAGTGTGGCCAGCAGGACCAGGGCAGTGGCCCTCCCCATGTACTCAGCACTGGTGAGGCCACACCTTGAGTGGTGTCCAGTTCTGGGCCCCTCAGTTCAAGAAAGACATGGAGGTGCCGGAGAGAGTCCAGAGAAGGACAACTGAGCTGCTGTGCAGTCTGGAGCACCAGCCTTGTGAGGAGCAGCTGAGGGAACTTGGAGTGCTTAGTCTGGAGAAAAGGAGGCTCGGGGGTGACCTTATCACTCTGTAACTCCCTGATGAGAGGTTGTAGCCAGGTGGGGGTTGAGCTCTTTTCCCAGGCAGGATGAGAAGACAGCCTCAAGCTGCCTCAGGGGCAGTTTGGGTTGAACATTAGGAGGAATTTCTTCACATAAAGGCACTGAAATGGGCTGCCCAGGGAGATCCTGGAGTCATCATGCCTGGGAGTGTTTAAGGAAAGACTGGAGGTGGTACTCAGTGCCCTGGTCAATTGGCATGATGGTGTTCAGTCAAAGGTCTCAGATACCTCCTCAAACCTAATTGTTCTGTGATTATGTCATTCTTCCTGTCCTTCCCCTTTTCAATGGTGTCATGGTCCTATTCTTTCATTCTTCTTAGTTCTTCCCCATGTCAGCCAATCCCAATTGGCAGATGGGCTCTGGAAGCAAGTGATGTGTTCCTGGACCTTGCTGGTAAGCAAATAAACAAGAAACACCTGTCCCAGAGAGTTTAGTTATGCCTGAAAGAGAAAAGAAAAGAAAAGAAAAGGAAAAAAATAAACAAAAACAAAAAACCAACAAAAAACCCAAACCAACATGCAAGAAATGAGCAGTTTCTTCAGCCTGAAGATAGAAAAAGGATATAAACATTGCAAAACATGACAACAGATGTATGTGATTTAAAGTAGTAATAATTTCACAGACATGTATTGACAAAAGAGTGGTAATTTTATTCCCAGGAAGACTTTTTTTAAAATATTGCTTTAATTCCAGTATTTCAACTAATACATTATACAGATGGAATCCCTGTTATTTGGCTTCTCAGTAGTACTACTGAGTACCCAGTAGTATCCCATCAGACAGATCTGATGGGATGTGCTGTCCTACCATGCCCCTTGCACCAGGCTGCCAGTGATGGAATCCCTTTCTCCATGCTCCTACAGCTGCTACAATTGGCACCTGTATGAAAACGTGCCATAGAGAGAAACTGCATCTCCATCTTCTGTTTTGGGTCTGCAGCAGGGTATCTGCCTGAGTTTCTGACAGAATTTTAAGATCCCTGCAATGTCTGCAGGGAAACAGATTGGCTTGACTGTCTTATCTAGGGGGAATTCCCTAAAGAGCATTCACTTCAGGATGATCCAAACTCCTTTCACTACTAGTAGCAAACAGTTGTTTACAAATTGCTCCACTGGATCCATCTCTGGGTGGAGAAATGAGAAAGTGTGTTTACTGTGTGTTTCACACTGAAATCAACAGGGAAAAAATGTTGATAAAATGATTGCTTGGCTCCCAGAACATTCTGTCCTTTGCCAGAAGTGCTACTGTCACCCAAGGTGCAGCTGGGGAGAGAGCTCCTGCCTCACAAGTGCATCTGCCCTGGCTGAAAGAAAGGTTGTGTAACAAATACTCAGTAGATATTGGTGAAATTCTGTGCTTGCTGTTTATGGCAAGTTCTGTCATAGTTTTTGTGATTTTAAGTGGTTTTATGTAAAACATTCTGAAATCTCATTTGAAACAAATTATTGCCACTAAAACTAAATCTGTAAAAGTTGCACCAGCCAACATGATAAATTCACTCACAAAACGAATAGTTTTTCTGTACATTCAGCAGAAAATTGTCACTTTTTCACCCTTACTTGTATGTAATGCATATATTCAAATATTTCACTGATACAGTAAGAACTTTATTGTTAAAAATCCAATTTCCAACATGAACAGAATATCTGTAACATGATAATACTGTTGCCATTTTTAGTTTGTTTGCTATGGCAACATGCTGAAGGTGTGTGCTGGACTGTTGGAAGAAGTTACAATGATTCCACAGTAATCTTCTATAAGTAAGGTGTTCTTTGGAGGGAATACAATTATTTTCATATAAAATGAAAAGGTGAAATTAGCATAGTGATGTTTAAGCTTGATCATGTGCATTTCAGATTTGTCATAAGGGTGACTTTCATCTTTGTAAATACTTTGAAGTTTTGGCCATATCGCTTAATTTATGTGACATGAAGTAAGTTATGATCCAACACTGACAGGTACTTCTCAACTCTGCTATGGTGTGACTATAAGAAAATAAAGGGCTGACTTGCATGGCAGCTCATGCTCCAGGTGGTCTGTTCTGTTTTGTTCTCTTCCCACTCTTACTTCTCTCTCCTCTGTCCTTGCTTTACCTCCTTGCCCATCCTCCTCTTGGCTTCCCAGTAGGCCATTTCAGTTCTTTGTTGCTGTGGTTGCTGCAGGATCACCCTCGCTGCCCTTGGCACCCCTTTTAGCAGCGATTCTCCACAGCTCCTCTCGGCTTGCCTGTCTCAGCTGCCAATCTCATGTGCCCCGGCACATACCATGTTTCTTAGTACCTCTTAATGCCCCTTCCTTTCCATGATTTCCATACTGCTTTTGCTCCATGAAAGCCTCTCCCTGTGGCCATTCCCAGTAACCTGCACTTGCCAGAGCCTGCTCTGCATCATGTATAGCCATTCAGATCCTGCTGGCTCCTCCACCATTTCTGGATCCTCCCTAATGTATTCCTCCTCCACTGACACCTCCAGCCCTGCCTCCCCAACTGCCCTCTTCGCTTCTTCAAACCAGCTTGTTTCAACTTTAATTTCCAGAGCAGCCCTCTGCAGCCACGCCTCTTTTCAGTCTGCTTGTCTGGTTACTCAGGAAGCCTCTTGCCCATTCTCCTGTGTGAGAGTCTCTTCTCACCCTTGGGCTTTGTTCCCACCATGTCAATGCTTGTCTGTTGCTGTTGCCATCCAAGTACAGAGCCCTGCAAGTTTTGTGTTGTGCACTGACCAGCTCCAGTCAAAATACACAGAAATACTGGTGTTGGACTGGTAGATCAAAAACCTGTTACACTTCCCCTCCTTTAGGCCAGATCTTCAGACGAGTTCTGGGTTTAGCAGGGAGTATGGGCTCTGAAAAAGAGACTGCCTGGTGGTGTGGGGGATTGGGATGCAGGTGGGGTGAAGGACTTGGTGGAGAGAGGGTTTGCTGTGCCTGTCCTCCACAAGCAGGCTTGACTGTCATCTCAATGGTATGTCCTGTAGCCGTGTTGGTAGCAGCTGGCCTTGGCTCAGGAAAGAGCAGCGGTCAAAAGTGAGGAGACATATCTGTTCCTTGACTCCCACAGTCCACAGGAGCTTTGTGTCCCCCCAGAGATCTCCGGTCCCTTCTAAATGCAGAGTCAGGAGCTTTGTGTGCGTGTTCATCTGCTGTATCTTCTCCCCCTGCTCTGTGCTCTGTCTTTGAATTACAGAGCAGAGCTGTCAAAACCACCTCTCCCAAAAATAATCTCTTGCTTCAGAGGCTGGAAAATGTGACAGCTCATTTTCATATGCAGAACGATGCAGTGGGTGTCTGAAAGCAGCTGAGGCTGAGGGGGTGGGCCAGGGAAATGCAGCTCTGAAATGGCAGCTGGGGAACATGAGAGGAAGGACGGAAGGAAGGGAGCAAATGAAGAACAGGGAGGGGGCGGAAGGAGGGCCGGAGGCAGCAGACAGCAAGTCCAGGGCATGAGAGGGTTTTACAGTGTGGGGCTGTTCTTTTTCCCTGTCCTTCTACTGCTCCCGTTCAGTTATTGAATTAGAAGAGTATCTCTGCTGCTAATGACAGCAGTTGCCAAGCTTGAGATATCAGATAACTGGGGAGAGGGAGCATACAGTCAGCAACAAGACAGCTTGGTGCTTTTTTCGCCTCCTTTTTCCTTCTTCTTCATGCCCCATTTTCCTCACATAACCTTAAGAAAAATCTGCATCATCCTGGTTCTTCAATTACTTATTGGAGTACCAATTGAAAAACAGAACTTGTCATTAAGATTTCAGTTTATGGGTTTTATTTTGTTTTACCAGTCTGATTGCCAGATGGAGCAAATCCTGTTCACCTGGCAGTGCCATGTTCCTCCCAGCTCTACGTGATACTCACCCTGGTTTCTGTGTACATGCATTTTACAGGTTATTGCTCATGGCCCTTTGTCTGGAGCATTTATGGCTGTGCCTGAGTCACTGCAGTTCCAGTCCTGCTGTGCCTGCTCCATGGAAGGCTTCAGAGGCTGTCGGCAGTGTTGATGTTTGCACTGCTGCCATAGCAAACTGCTTCATGGGGTCAGGGAAACCTCAAACATCCCTAGCGAAGCCAAAGGGCAGGTGAGAGAAACTTCTTTTTGGCAAGTGAGCTGTTTCCAGTGAAGGTGCTCTCTGGCAGCACTGGAAGCAGCTAAAGAATCACTGTCAATTCACAAGTATTTTCCATTCAGTTTCCCAGAGACGCTGGGGATGTGGTTTTATGCCACCCAGGAGGAAATGTGTATTTCTTTAGAAAGATGTTTAGTATTTTGACTGTTAAGCACTTGCTGGTTGTTCTTACACTGTATCTTAAGTTTAAATGTCAAAAAGACCCACTTGTCCATCCTGCCTGTCATAGAATAGTTTGAATTGAAAGGGACCTTAAAGATCATCTGGTTCCAACTTCCCTGCCACAGGCAGGGACACCTTCCACTAGACCAGATTGCTCAAAGCCCCATCCAGCCTGGCTGTGAACACTTTCAGGGATGGAGTACCTTATTTTTCTGTTTGAAAAGCTAAGTTGTCATGTGATTGGGACAATAAGGTAGAGAAGAGAATTGGGAACACAGCTAGTAATTTACTGGTCAGCTTTGTAACTGGTCTAGGGGCTGAGGCTAAGTCAGGTGAAACCAAAGTCTCCTGAATTTCACCCCTCACTTAAGAAAAACAGCTTTGTTATCTGTGGCTTATCTTGGCTTTGGCATGCAAAATTAAGAAGGTGTTTTAAGTTACTTTATCCTAAACTCTTTGATTTCTACCTACAAATTTTCTACTTCTCATGACAGGACATCAAGGGGTATTTTTTACTTCAGATGAGTAATAAGACTGTAGGATAGATGGCTATTTCAGTCAGCACAGAAAGAACCCAGGTAAGTAAATGTTTGCTTCAATACATACTAAAAATTGTGAGAGGTTTTACACTCAACTGTTTCAGTGCAGGATTAGGCTGTATGCCAACAAGAACTTCCCTTGGGTCCTGTGGTTGTGTTTCTCCTGAGGACACTATGTGGGACAGTTGGTCCTATACAGCTACAGCCCTGCTTCCATCTGTCTTTTTGAAAGGTCCACCAAAGCAGGTGTCTGGTCAGCTCAAACCAGCCAAGTCACATACTCACTTAGTGTCTGACCCAGTAAATCCTGGGAACGCAGTGGCATTCAGGAATTAATATTGGAATGATTTGTTGATTCCTTCAGTTCTTCCTATTTAGCTTCCCATGGTCTGACCATGTGTTTATTTTTGTTTAGTATCTTGTGTGATCTTTCTTCATTTGTGCAATGCTGGTGGGTTTGTTGATACCTCCAGTGAAAGTATCAACACTGCTGTGTCACAAGGAGTTTGTCATTTCACAACAAATAGGTACCTTTAGAGATCTGTGGAAGAACGTGGCAAAGTGACACATTGCTTTTTTTTTCCCGACAGAGCCTGGAAAAAATCAGAAAACACAAGAGAGAATGTTTTCTGCTTGAGAGGATAACATACAGGTCTATGCATTCCACCACTTGGAAAGGTATATTTAATATATTATATATTTTGAGTTTTCTCAGCGTCATGATTGATTTTACTATTCAGTATAAAACTTAACTGATCAATTTGAATTTCTGCTATCAAAATCAGATACTTAGAAGCTGAACTGTCAAACAATAAAATGAGAAGCAGACAGCCTGTAAATGTTGTAGGATGAGCTTGTGTAGCTAACAAAACCACCTGTTCCTGCTATGATCAAATAAATGTTTTTCCCAATGGAAGTGTTAGAAACACATTTGTGTCCATTTCCTGCCAAAACAGAATTTGCTTGTTACACTGTGACCTAAGGCTACTGCATTTGAAAATGATCTGATGGGCAAAATCCTAAATTACCATTATAAAGGTATGAAGAAATGAGGTGGTGGTGGTATGGGACATAGCACTATAAAAGCCAGCAGGGACTCTTTGCCTTTCCTCCTAACACAGGTAACAGCATTGCCATATCTCTCACTATAGGTATTGTCCTGGTTTGGCTGGTATAGAGTTAATTTTCTTCCCAGTAGCTGGTACAGTGCTGTGTTATGGATTCAGTAGAGAATAACATGGATAACATGCTGATGTTTTAGTTGTTGCCAAGTAGTGCTTCACCTAAGTCAAGGACTTTTCAGTTTCCCATGCTCTGCCTGCAAGGAGCTGCACAGGAGCCTGGAGGGAGCACGGCCAGGACAGCTGAACCAAACTGGCCAGAGGAATATTCTAGACCATAGAATGTCGTGCTCAGGTCCCCGCACCATGTGGAACCTGAGCATGACATAAATGGTATGGAATAAGGGATGGAGAAGGTGCTGGCATTGGCTGCAGTAGAGTTAATTTTCTTCATCGTAGCAGGTTTGGGTCTATGTTTGGGATTTGTCCTGAAAACAGGATTGGTAACAGAGGAATGTTTTCATTGTCACTGAGCAGCACTAATACAGAGTCAAGGCCTTTTCAGCTTCTCACCTATCCCCCCAGTGAGGAGGCTGGAGGAGCACAAGGAGCTAGGATAGCTGACCACAGCTATATATCCCAGAGGCATATACCACACCACATGGCATCATGCTCACCATATAAACCTGGGGGAAGAAGAAGGAAAGGGAGGATGTTTGGAGCAATGATGTTTGTCTTCTCAAGTCACCATTACATGTGATGCAGCCCTGCTTTCCTGAGGATAGCTAAACACCTGGCTGTCCATGGGGAGGAGTGAATGAATTCCAAATTCCTTGGTTTGCTTTGTTTGTGTTCCTATTAGACTGTCTTTATCTCAGTCCCTGAATTTTCTCACTTTTCTGATTCTCTTCCCATCCCACTGCCAGGCAATATGCAAGTGGCTGTGTGATTGATGGCAGGGTTTTAGCCATGACATGTATTTTGATAGAAGTCATGGGATCTAAGGATTTTCTTTTCTTTAAATCTACCTTTAATTATTTTTGGACTATTGACTAATTTTGAACTAATCTTCATATAACAAATGAGATAGAGATATTAATAGCTCCCATAGTGTTAATTTATTAATGTAATGCCTGAACCCACTGTGTACCTCTTAGTTTATGTTCAGACAAACAAACATTCTCTAGATAGGAAAAAGTGAAAAAGGACAGGTAGCATGTCCTTCATCTGATACAGACTAAACTGCATCCAGTTTGGCTCCCTGCAGCCGATACACTCCTTCTGTATGTGTCAGCAGGCCTTGAGCTCTCCCATGTCCTGCTGCTGTCTCTTGCCAAATTCCTGGCTCACATACCACACCCTTGGCATCATGGTACAAAACACAGCACTGACAAGCTGTTAAGCCACCCACTTAATATTAGTAATTGGTTTCCTTATTTTTCTTAAGATTTCACAGGAATTAAGGCAAGGGGCACACTTGTGAGACCTGTGGAGATCAAAGCAAGAGACATCAAGAGACATCATAAGAGCCACACTTTTGCTGCTCACATAGTCTCTTAGCAGCAATATAAGGATTAAACAAATCTACTTTAAATCTTTAAAACAAGATCCTTGGTGAAAGCCAGCTTTGGTGTTCCTCAGTGCAAGTATCTCCACTGTGAGCTCAGACTGGCTTGTGGGGCTGCAAGGAGATAGATTTCTCTTTATTCTCCAAATGCACAGCGTGCAGGGATGGTGTTGGCTTTGTCAGAGACTACAGGGAGGGAACCTTTGTCAGTGGAGTTACCCTCATGACCAGAAAAACTTGCCCAAAGATTTTCATCAGTCTTTGCAAGATCCCAGGTGTAGCTGGAGATTGTGCAGGTTATGCACAGTGTGTGTATCTGCCTGCATACCAAACCCTGCATGGCAGCAGGCTGCCAGCATCCATCTGCTCCCTGAATTCTCCTTAGTGTGTCTCACTTTGCTCTTGCAGCTCAATTTTGGGGACACACACTTCATTCCTGCAGCTCTGCATGGGACATACACACTTTGGTCTTGCAGCTCACTGCTGGAGAGTCACTTCTGTCCCACAGCTCATCCTTGGTCCTACAGACATTCACTCTGTGGGAGCCACAGTATCCTGGTTTTGGCTGGTATACCATTAATTTTATTCCCAAGAGCTGGCACAATCCTATGTTATCAATTTAGGATAAGAACAATGTTGATAACACACCAATGGTTTAGTTGTTGCTAGTTGGGCTTGCCAAAAATCAAGGTTTTTTCAGCTTTCTGTGTTCTGCTAATGAGGAGTTGCACAAGAAGCAGTAGGGAGCACAGCCAGGACAGCTGACCCGAACTGGCCATGGGATATTCCATACCATAGAATACCATGTTTGGTACATAAACTGTGGGGAATTGTCTGGAAGCTGCCATTCACTGCCCAGGGATGGAATGGGTATTGGACAAGGGTGGTAAGCAGTTGCACTATGTATGCATCATTTGTCTTTCTTGGGTTTATTTACAGCTCTTTTTGTTCCCTCCTTTTTCATTATAGTAATATGATTTATTATTATTTTCAATTATTAAACTGTTGTTATCTCAACTAATGGGTTTTACCTTTTTTTCCAATTCTTCTCCTCATCCCATGGAGTGGGGGGAGCAGTGAGCAAACAGCTACATAGTTTTTAGTTGTCAGCTGAGGCTAAACCACAACAAAAAGTAAGAAGAGGGACAGTATGAGCCTTGTTTGAGGTGACATGCACAGTGGCATCCTGACCTAATGGAATGATTAGATCATGGAATGATGGACAGTGTCCCTTTTCTAGAAAAGGGCAATGTCTTGCCTATAGTGGAGAAGATACATTTTTCCAGCTGGATCTGTGGTGCAGACTGAACCCATGTAGCTGGTTATGGTACCCACAACTCTGCAGGGCCTGTGAGTGATGTGTTGGCATTAAAGGGTTGGCAGGCAGCCTTCTAAAGACCTCGTCAATCTGAGCCTGCCTATGACTGCTGTTGCCCTGGTCCAAAATCTTCTCTCCACGAGGGGAAGAAGGGAAGGGAGGTGGGGAAGAGGTGGACAAGGTCAGTGTCTGAAAGGATGTAGATATGTAGGCATGGGTCTGTTGCAAAAGAGCCATGGAAGGCTCTGAGCATGGGGAGTACTCAGGCACAGGAAGCCAAGGAGGCCTGTGGGTGAGCAGGTGAGCCCTGTGCTGGCGTTGCCCTGCGGTGGTTCCTGCCCGGCCCCGGGTGGGTGGAAGGGTCTGGCCGGCACCGCCCGCGTGAGGCCACCCCATGAGTGGCACCTCAGGGAGAATCGTCTGCCCCGATGGTGCTGCTGCTGCTCGTGGGTGCAGCTTGGGCAACTCTGCACGCTGAGAGCAGGTGAAGGGATGAGAGAAGGACACTTGTCTGCGAGCCCAAAGAGTCCTTTGATTTCCCCAGGTGGGGCAAGAAAGGTGCCCTCTGGGTGGATGCAGTGAAAAATGCCAAAGAAATCAATGATTACAGCAACTTAAATAAGGGGTGGGCAGACAGGGGTGCAAACCTGTCTTGCCCAATGGGGATAAACCAGAGAGGGATACGACAACCTATGATAATGTAACAGGGGGACAAATGGGGGAGCATAAAGGCTAACTAACATTGATAAAACCAACTGACTAAATTAAACCACACTGCAACACTTCATCTTCTCTGTAGGTGCAAACCATCTACTCCAAAGGATCTTTGTTGTCAGCAGCAAGAAACTGAGCCAGTTTGCAGTGTTGGATTTTGACCCTGGGCCCACAGTTGTTCTTGGGTTTCAAGAAGAAAGTGTATATAAATGTACCCAGAGTCACTATGGGTTGAGTTCATTTAAGATTAGGTGTTTATAAGACAAGCATCTGGTTTTATAGCTCTTTTTATCATCAGTGAAGTGCTAATAAATATAAACCACTGGGTTCAAGCAAGTTATATTTTTCCCTGATGTGGAATGAACTACATTCTGGGCTCTGTTGACTCCATCTCCCTGATGATAATGGAAACCTGGGCAGCAACCACAGTAGGTGACTCTACAAAGCAGGTGAGGTGAGGTGGATCCCACCACAAGTGCCCACAAGAACCATCAGCTGGGCAGAGCAGAGTCCCATGGAGGTACAGCAGGAAAGGTTTCAGGCTGTTTGCTGGCTGTTGGCATGCAGGTGTTCACACACATGTCTGCAGCTCGAACATAGCACACACTACCCTTTGCTGCCAAGAGACCTGGGGAAAAACTGAGGGAAGAGAGGAGACACTGTGATGGGCACTCAAATTTAGAGAAGGTGAAAAGGCTGAGTGACTTGCAAGGGCACCAAGGAAGCAGGAAAGTAGGTATGACGTAGCTATTGAGACAGGGCACATAGAGTTTCAGACCCTGTAGTGAACCAGGCTCTCACAGAGCAGCTGCCTCAGGGAAAACTTGGTTACCTTTATCCTGCTCCAGAAGCCTCCATTTTGCCCCATTCCCCCTGGATGTGCTGCACAGCATGGCAGCTGTCAACTGCAGGTTTGCTCTGCTGAGGGGCAGTGGCTCTGCTCCTCCAGGTTTTTCAGGAACATGCTTGTCCATCTTGAATCTCTTCTTTGGCTCCTGGCTCTGTCTCTTTGAGTGAAGCTGAAGGACTGACATAAAACGTTTTGTGATCCCTTTGGTTTTCAGTTTAGTTTTCACAAATATATCTTGTATTGAAAAATAATTTTAAGTCAGGAGACAGCCTGTGTGTAACTAGCTCCATTTTCCCAGGAGAGAATTGACATTAATTTCTTACTACTTCCAGGAACATTTGGTTTTGTAAAATGTTTTTTGTTGTTTTTTTTTTTTCTTTCAGCATTTTTCTAGTATCTTCCTGTTTCTGAGTTAGCT